ACCAATATTATTCATAATGAATGTTTTGGGTTAAATTGCGTTATTTATAAATGTGTCGTAACCCTCCACCCGACACGGCCAAACAGTAGAAAATGTGTCACGTTTACAAAATGACGAAATTATTCACTTATTTAGCCCACCGGTGTGTTGAAGAAAGAATCAACATCATTAAAAATTTGAGTACGTCGCTTCGCTCGTTATTACATCCAGCTTCATCGGGCAATTTGCCATAATGGTGAGGCTCTCCTTTTGCTCCCGGTCTTAAATGGTGACGTCAACATTTAATTAATTCAGGTGCAGTGATTTGAGGCAGAGAGGGGGAGGGTATTGTAATTATATAATAGATTGGTAATCATTCAATTGTTATTAATTGGTATGTGTTTCCCTTATAAGGAATTATAATTGTATTATATATTATTTAATAATACGCTTCCAGGCCGTACTAAGCCTGTAGCTGTCAGAGCGATTAAAGTTATTTGTATTTCTCTCAATTTCAATGGATTCTCTAATTAGTCTTGGCCAGTAATAATTAGTTTTACACAACACTTCAACGTTATCAAAATCAATTGAGTGTCCTTGTTGACAAGCATGCTCTGCCACTGCCGACAGTTGTGTTTGAGATAATTTAATATTTATTTGGTGTTCTTTTAGTCTTACGCTGATGTTTAGTCCCGTCTGTCCAATATAGCATCTGCCACATACACAATTAATCTGATATACACCTTCTGTTGATAATTTAGGCAATTCCTCTTTAGCGCCAGATACCAGTTTTTTTATTTTGTTTACTGTACCAAATCTTACGTTAATGTTTTGCTTTTGCAAAACACGGGCTAATTTGTCAGTTACTCCTGAGCTATATGGTATTTTAATTGTTTGAACAATCTTATCGCTTTCAGTAGTGTTGCTTTGCGTTCGTGATTTGGCATTCAGTGCTCTGTTAATTTGAACATTATTGTAGCCATTCTGTCTTAGTGCTTCTTTAACATGTTTAATCTCTCACACTAGACTTTCACCATCTGACACTGTTTTAGCCCGATGTATGAGTGTCTTGAGCTGGGTGATGATGTGAATCTACATTCAGATCGGCATCAGTGTGCGTTTGCTTTCGGTAAACGATATGTGTCCCTGCAAAATATCTAGGAACGAGAGTATGTTATTCACCTCCATTTCCATGGTGAACTGGATGGCCGGGTTTTGTGCATTGAAATTATTTAGAAAATCATTAAGTGCATCTTTACCATGTGGCCAGACAACGTATTATTAAATAAAATATATAATACAATTACAATTCCTTATAAGGGAAACAAATACCAATGAATAACAATTGAATGATTACCAATCTATCATATAATTACAATACCCTCCCCCTCTCTGCCTCAAAGTTATTTGTATTTCTCTCAATTTCAATGGATTCTCTAATTAGTCTTGGCCAGTAATAATTAGTTTTACACAACACTTCAACGTTATCAAAATCAATTGAGTGTCCTTGTTGACAAGCATGCTCTGCCACTGCCGACAGTTGTGTTTGAGATAATTTAATATTTATTTGGTGTTCTTTTAGTCCTACGCTGATGTTTAGTCCCGTCTGTCCAATATAGCATCTGCCACATACACAATTAATCTGATATACACCTTCTGTTGATAATTTAGGCAATTCCTCTTTAGCGCCAGATACCAGTTTTTTTATTTTGTTTACAGTACCAAATCTTACGTTAATGTTTTGCTTTTGCAAAACACGGGCTAATTTGTCAGTTACTCCTGAGCTATATGGTATTTTAATTGTTTGAACAATCTTATCGCTTTCAGTAGTGTTGCTTTGCGTTCGTGATTTGGCATTCAGTGCTCTGTTAATTTGAACGTTATTGTAGCCATTCTGTCTTAGTGCTTCTTTAACATGTTTAATCTCTCACACTAGACTTTCACCATCTGACACTGTTTTAGCCCGATGTATGAGTGTCTTGAGCTGGGTGATGATGTGAATCTACATTCAGATCGGCATCAGTGTGCGTTTGCTTTCGGTAAACGATGTGTGTCCCTGCAAAATATCTAGGAACGGGAGTCTGTTATTCACCTCCATTTCCATGGTGAACTGGATGGCCGGGTTTTGTGCATTGAAATTATTTAGAAAATCATTAAGTGCATCTTTACCATGTGGCCAGACAACGTATTATTAAATAAAATATATAATACAATTACAATTCCTTATAAGGGAAACAAATACCAATGAATAACAATTGAATGATTACCAATCTATCATATAATTACAATACCCTCCCCCTCTCCGCCTCAAATCACTGCACCTGAATGAATTAAATGATGACGTCACCCTGCTGCTGCTCTATTTAAGACCGGGAGCAAGAGGAGAACCTCACCATTCTGACAAATTACCCGATGATGCTGGATGTAATTACCAGCGAAACTGCGTACTCAAATTTTAAATTATGTTGATTCACTCTTCAACACACGTGGGCTAAAGTAGTGAATTATTTGTCCTTTGTAAACGTGACGCATATTCAATTTTAATTTGGAGCTTTTGTGACTGCAGGAATTACTCTTTGGTTCTTTCGGTAAAGTCACGTATAAAGATAAAATATAAATTAAATAATAGCATACGACGTTTCGATTGCAACACAAGCAATCATCATCAGGTATAAATTAAATAGCAACAAAAATCTAACCAGAAAACTATAGACAGACATATAAGCAGACATATCACAGAGATACATAGAGAGATAACACACATAGGCACACAGAGAGAGCACGTCTCTGTGACGAGGCCTTAAATAGAGAGAGCGGGCGGGGGCGGAGAGAGGGAGGGGTTAGAGAAAATTAGCATGTCAATGAGTAGGACGACGCGTGGTAAGGTGCGCAAGCTTGAAAATTAGGAGAACGGGAGAGAGACACACTAAATTAAATAACCTAGCAAAATATCGAAATGTAATGTAATGCAACGCAGAGTCGGTCAACACACAATTAACGCATAGCCTGGTTGATTACGTATTTCAAAGATTGCTAAGTTAGAATTTAAGTGTGAAAATTCCAAAGAGAGACAAAACACAAACACGAGGAACGGAGACACACAGACAGAGCAGAACATAAGAACAGAAAAAGTACACTAAATCAAATAAAACCTAGCAAAATTTCCCCCTCTCTCTATTTAAGGCCTCGTCACAGAGACGTGCTCTCTCTGTGTGCCTATGTGTGTTCTCTCTCTATGTATCTCTGTGATATGTCTGCTTATATGTCTGTTTATAGTTTTCTGGTTAGATTTTTGTTGCTATTTCATTTATACCTGATGATGATTGCTTGTGTTGCAATCGAAACGTCGTATGCTATTATTTAATTTATTATTTTATCTTTATACGTAAATTTACTGAAAGAACCAAAGAGTAATTCCTGCAGTCACGAAAGCTCCAAATTAAGATTGAACCACTTCTACGGGGAAGTTTTAAGTTTATCTTTTTTCTCTCTCTCTGGGTTTTTTGTTTTCTCTCTCTGCCTGTGTATCGATCTTCGTGTTTGTGTCTTTCAAATTTCACACTTAACTTCTAATTTAGCAATTTTTGGAAGATCGTAATCAACCAGGCTATGCGTTAATTGTGTGTTGACCGACCCTCTGTGTTGCATTGCATTAAGTTTCAAAATTTTGCTAGGTTTTATTTGATTTAGTGTACTTTTCTGTCTCCACTCGTTTTTTGTCGTTCTTATGTTCTGCTCTGTCTAAGTGTCTCCGTTCCTCGTGTTTGTGTTTTGTCTCTCTTTGGAATTTTCACACTTAAATTCTAACTTAGCAATATTTGAAATACGTAATCAACCAGGCTATGCGTTAATTGTGTGTTGACCGACTCTCTGTGTTGCATTACATTACATTTTGATATTTTGCTAGGTTATTTAATTTAGTGTGTCTCTCTCCCGTTCTCCTAATTTTCAAGCTTGCGCACCTTACCACGCGTCGTCCTACTCATTGACATGCTAATTTTCTCTAACCCCTCCCTCTCTCCGCCCCCGCCCCCTCTCTCTATTTAAGGCCTCGTCACAGAGACGTGCTCTCTCTGTGTGCCTATGTGTGTTCTCTCTCTATGTATCTCTGTGATATGTCTGCTTATATGTCTGTTTATAGTTTTCTGGTTAGATTTTTGTTGCTATTTCATTTATACCTGATGATGATTGCTTGTGTTGCAATCGAAACGTCGTATGCTATTATTTAATTTATTATTTTATCTTTATACGTGACTTTACCGAAAGAACCAAAGAGTACATTTTCAATTGTTTGGCCGTGTCAGGTGGTGGAGGGTTGACACATTTTTAAATAACGCGTTTTAACCCAAAAACTTTATTATGAATATTTAGGTGATGTTGAATATGATGTTTAAGTAGTTTTGTACACGAACACTGTCATATCTGTTTCGTGCAACATTTTCAAGTGATTGTGATGGAAAAGGCAGTATATAAATATAGATTGATTGGCATGGGCATGCTATAGGCGAGAGGGGCAGTTAAGACAATGTTATGGCAGCAGCGTGAATGAATAAACTTTATGTGGTGAGAGAGAGTCAGACATAGGCAGAGGAAAAAAATTAATGTGGTGAGGCTGGACGTGAGCAGAGGCAGGGAGTTGATAGATGGGGAGCTCCAGACTGGGGGCAGTAGAGGAGAATGAGAAAACTTGTACTCCAGGAATACTAACTTCAGGCAATCGACAGAAAGTCTTCGTTGCTTGAGCAGAGTGTGTGGAGTCGTGGAGGGGAGTAGAGTTAGGCGAGCTGGGAGAGGTAGGGGAGCGTGTAGAGGAGAGTAGAGTGAGATCCGAGGGGAGAGGTCGGAGAGTGCGTGGAGGGTAGAGTAATATGAGAGGCGAGAGGTAGGAGAGTGCATAGTGGAAAGTGAGGACAGAGGGAGAGGTAAGAGATGTGTGCGGAGGAGAGTATTGTGAGATCAGTCTCTCTATATCTTTGAGGGAGGCATTTAACGCAGATCCCTTAACTCTGCTACCCCTCCAGCTACGTGAAGAACATGTCAGAGCACGTGCGATCCCAGATTTCTCCTGAAGACGAAAAACCAAGTGTCATGGAAAGCCACTTGCCGTCCCTGGTTGTGTGTGTGCGGGACTGCGCGCTGAAGCTGGAATGGGACGGCAAGTCATGCACTCCCGACGAGTACATGGAGAAGTGCTTCCAGGTCCGCAGGAGCAATTCCCCCGAAAATGAAGAATTCAACAGGGAACGCGACCTCATGTGCGCATATTTTAAAGTGAGTCGTGTATGAGGATGTGGATGTGCACGTATATGGTGCTTGACTCCGCAATTCTAATGAAACTTGATTTGAAGCTTTCGTGACTGCAGGAATTACTCTTTCGGTAAAGTCACAAAGAAATTAAATAATAGAGTACGACGTTTTGATTGCAACAAGCAACCGTCATCAGGTAGAACTAAATTTGAGAGAGAGACAAAACAAAAACACAGAGACACGGACAGACACACAAGCAGAGAGAGACAACACGGACACAGAGACACACAACATAGACACACAGAGACCAAATGCCTCTGTGTCGAGGCCTTAAATAGAGAGAGAGGGGGGGGGGGTTTGGCAGAGAGAGAAGTGGGTCTGCGGGGGCAGTTGCTGGAGCAGATAAATTAGCATGTCCATGAATCCACCCGAAGCGACCGAGGGAAAGAAGATCGAATGGCCCGATGATAGCCTGGTAAAATTTAGAGAGAGAAATGTTCTAAGTTTGTTTTCTCAAACGACCTATTTCTCTCGGGCTCTCATAGGTCCATTCGCTCTTTCTCTCCCCTGGCTGCTTCGGGGTGGATTTCCACACACAACTCTCTGTGTGTCTATCAATTTTCACACTTAAATTCGAATTTTAGCAATTTTTGGAGATCGTAATCAACCAGGCTATACGTTAACTGTGTGTTAGCCGACTCTGTGTTGCATTACATTACATTTCCAAAAGATTTGATAAATTTTGTTTTTCTCAAACAATTTCTCTCTAAAATGTACCAGGCTATCATAAGGCCATTCGATCTTCTTTCCCTCAGTCGCTTCAGGGTGGATTCATTGACATGCTAATTTATCTGCTCCAGCAGACCCACCTCTCTCTCTGACCAACCCCCCCCCCCCCTCTCTATTTAAGGCCTCAACACAGAGGCATTGGGTCTCTGTGTCTATGTTGTGTGTGTCTCTCTATGTGTGTCTGTGTTGTCTCTCTCTGCTTGTGTGTCTCTCTGTGTGTCTCCGTGTCTGTGTTTTGTCTCTCTCTCAAATTTAGTTCTACCTGATGACGGTTGCTTGTGTTGCAATCGCAACGTCGTACTCTATTATTTTATTTATTTTATTTCTACGTGACTTTACCGAAAGAACCAAAGAGTAATTCCAAATCACTTACATTGCATCTGATCTCAACAATTAAAATATCTGTAGCAGTTATCACCAGGGAGGATGCCAACACTAGCTTGTATCCTGTGTTACAGGTGCACATAAGGTGGTCCTTGAAAATTAGCATTATTCTGCCACCAGGGAGTGATGTTACTCTGTGTATTTTTACAATTCAATCATTTGTGGATAATTTGCCAAATGCGAATAATGACGCCAGCATACATGTCGAGTAACACCCAACACAGTAGTCTTCAATAATAGTTTTTATTTCTTCAAGAATTTCCTTTCCTCCAAGTGTCTCTAACTCTCTCACTTCACCTGTATATATCCCTCAAGTCCCTATCCAAAAGAGTCCTTGACCTTCTGCTTTGCCATCAACCAATCACCTTCTACTTTCCCTAATGGTTTCCAACCGTCCATTTTGTATTTCTACCTCCAATCCCTTAAATTTCCTGCCTCTAACCAATCTCCTTTCAAGCCCTTTAAGTAAATTAGAGATGGCTTGTTTAACTTCCTGATTGTCATGCATAATGTCGGATGAGTATTTCGGGTTGTGATTGAATCACTACACATGTGTAATGAGATGACTTCTGGGACACAACTTGTAGAGGGTTTCTTATTTATTTCTCAATACTTTAAAGACAGGGTCACGGAATAACATAAGCGCTGAGTTACTTCTAGCTGATCCACCCATACAGCCACATCGGCGTCGTACACTATATAGCTGACTGACTATATAGCAACAACAACGATGAAGACTGTATAGCCAGCTGGCGATGCAGCGACGACGATGATAAAGAGATGGCAGTGATGACAGCGACGACAGCCAGGATCCGAACCCCTACGACAGCCCCGAACCCCCGTTTGCATGGCCAAGCCCCCCCCCCCCCCCCCTGGCCACACCCCACTTAAGGAACTCTCTCGCTGTTTCCAGGAGCTTCCAGATCAATCCCCTCGTTGACCCTTGGCGCAGTTACACCCCCCTTATGGTTGCTTATGTGTGCTGTTTTATAACACAACCATACCCGTAATTAGCCCCAATGATCAGCAGATGGCACCCTGTCACTACATCACCTCCCCCCCCCCCTATTTTTAAAAGATAGCCGTCCCAGCTAATACCAACAACAATTTTACAATTTAGGTAGAACAATTTCACAAACGAGAACCCATAAAATCCCGGTAACAATAATAACAAATTTTAGGGCAGAACAAATCCGCAATCGAAAATAAGAACCAAAATTTTAATAAAATCCTAACATCAATAATAACGGTAAGGGAGAGAGAGAGAAAAAAATAAAACCCAACGTGCGTCCCCGCAACCCGACCCCAACGCACCCCCCACACACAGGGAGATTACTATTAACAGAATATATCACATTTCGACCGGGTCCTCGACACCAGTCCATCCTTGGGGGCGAACTTTGTCTTCTCTCCGGGCGATGGGGACTTGAATAAAAACCTTAAAGGGATCGGCTGCTCCCCTGATTCCTTCGAAGACGTGGACCGAGCTGTTGCCGGCGGTCCATCGCACCCAGCAGGATCCCGTGACTCTGCGTCCTTCAGGGGCTCGGAAACTGTGTGCAGCACAACACAATCCTTCTGACGCATACTCTCTGTGGCGGATTCCCCCGGCTCGTCGGACACATTAGACACCGGCCGTATAATGCTTGGAGATGAGCTGTCAGTTCGGGAGAAACATATTGCTTTAACCGTGATGGATGGACAAACCAATGACGACGGCCCACTTGTATACACTTAACACCGTGGGGCTTGGTGAGAACTACATTTATAATGTTTTTGCCAGTGACTAGTGTTGTAAAAATAGGCATGTGAATAGATAACTGACCGTAGCTATTCAGTGCCAGACTAACCCTTCAACAATTAAAAGCATTACGAAATTAACGAATTGATGTTAAAAGTAAGATTATTAAATGTTTGCTGGCACGTGGCATTGTCCTTGTGACGACAAACAAGACACAACCCCTCCTATGAGTGTATGATTTGTTCTCAATCATACATTTAAATAAAAGGAATTTAACTGACATGTATTTTGTTAGGCAAATGATATGTTGATGCTGCACCATTGCATGGCTAGTTGCGGATAGAGATTCCATTTTTCCGTAATAAAGGGTTTTTTTCAGTTAGATCGCGTATTTAAGCGATGATATTGGTCGCAAAAGCCTACGTGTTAAACTGATTCCATTTTTGTTTGTATTGCCAAACAAAGTATGGTATAATGTTTTTTTTCAAATGAGCGACCGTTTAGTTCAAATATAATAATTCAGTGGCAGTCAAGGAATGGGAGCAGATCTGAAAGTACCTTTCAAATGAACTATCATATCTTAATTTGAGAAAATGAAGATATGACCGATTAGTTCAAATATAATAATGGAGTGGCAGCCAAGGAATGGGAGCAGATCTAAAAGTACCTTCACCAAAGGAATGGAGAAATGAAATTAGAGCATGTGCAGGTGCGGAGGCATGGTGAGCCCTTCATTCACCAGTGGATTGACGATAGCCAATGGTATTGAGGATAGTCAGTGCGTTGTCGTTGTTGAATGGTCGTTGTTGTCTTCCTGCAGAAGCGGAAGTGCTTCATATTCCCCATGCCCGCACACCCGGACGACATGGACCAGCTGGAGAATAAACTCAGCAAGACGTTTCTGAAAGTGGCGGAGGAGTTCACCTCTCACATCTACCAGATCATAAAGTACAAGAACATCGATGGGGTCATCCTCACTGGCCAACGTGAGCGCAAACATCAAAAAATAAGCTTGCACTGTTGTCGTTTCTGTTACATCGATAAGAGTGAAATGCATTTTGTAGAAAAAATTGTTGAAATTTTGATCTACTTCATCAGTTACCACGGTTTTACTTTTATAGCACTCCCATTTGTTTTCAGGTTGTACCCCACGTTGGTCAGCCTGAATGTCTGACGCTTCACTCCATGGTGCTGGGAGCTTCTTTGGGAACTGAACCATTCCGTTTCAAATTTCTCACTTCCTGAATAACCTCCCAGCACGTGGAACAAAAACTATGGACATAAATGTTGAAAAACACACAGTACAACCCATAAACACGTCAGAGAAAACACATCAGAGATGATATCACACTTCATGACATCACGTGGGAGACGTATGCAAGGGCGTATAATGTCATTGCTTTGGCCAAAGGGATTTATCCATTTCAACCTGGGTTTCATTCCCAAACATGTGAGCTATAGTTTGATCAATGGGGTCGATTTTCAAGAGGGTCCTGATGAACAACACTTTATGCAAATATTTATACTCGAGTTATACTAAATTTGTGTTCATATTGGAAAGTCTATAAGACAGTCGTCATACATCCCTGTTACTGACAGATAAACAGATTGACAAAGCTAATTCATTTATACTTTAAAACAGTCAGACATTATTGAAATCATAACGACGATGATGAAGACCCTATTGCTTGTTCACGTCCTGTTTTTTTTCAGTCTTCCTGCAGGTTGCAGAGCTTTATGTGCAGGCTCATCGTTCGGGCGACATGGTCTGCATCGAGGGTGCACGGCAATATGTGGTGCTGTTTGCCAACATGCAGGCAATGGAGGACGCCAAGGGGGTATACCAGAGAGAGATGGAGACGTTGACGAACAAGCTTCCTGTGGAGTACAAACAACTGCAACGACATCAAGAGGAGTGCACAAAGAAAGCGATGGCTCTCTTCTACCGTTGCTCTGTGCTCGACTGCATTCACGAGTTTGAGACGGAGCTCTTGGTGAGTTTGGAGGATGGTGAAAACGTAAAGGTGCAGCCCTAACATGTCTTTTTCACACCACGGCTGATAGAGGGGGGGGGGGGGCCTCCAGTATGAGGATATATCTGGAGAGCTACACTCTAGAGAGTATTTTTGGCCTACTCTTCCATGCCTGGGACAGATGTCTTGAAGGAGGTGGGAGTACCCACATTTACCACACCCATATATAACCTCACAATTGACTGTGGTGTACCCATTTATAATAATAGGTGGACAGACACCGGCGGATTTAACATAGGCATCGATAGTTTGAACTGCTATGCCAGGAGATCGAATGCAGCCTGCATCGGATGTTCATGGTGATGTTAAACGATGGCAGAATACCACAGATTTATAAAGGGTTCACCTGCAACACCTTTTTTCTCCTTATCTTTTTCACCATGTATAAGTTTAACAATTCACCAGAACACCTTCACATCATATTATGCCCGTGTTGGCCTCCATGCACTGGCTTCCAATTTCACATAGAATAAAGTTTAAAATCCTCATGTTAACTTACAAAGCAGTGAACCATCTTTCCCCAGCCTAATCATTGACATGCTACACCCATATGTCCCCTCAAGGTCTCTAAGATCTGGGGATGCAGATCTTCTGTCTGTGTTCCCAGGTCGAGGCTTTGGTCTATGGGTGACCAAAATTTTCCCCATGTAGCCTCGAGGATATGCATCGCTCTTCCACGAGATATCAGGATCTCTGAGTCTGTGGACATTTATAAAATGCTTCTTTAAACCTATTTTATGCATCCACTTATTTAACGTTTAGTTCATTTAGTAAATTGATTCTTCAAATGTATGTATAATATCAAATGTGTACGTGTCTGAGTGTCTGCTGCCGCTATTTCCTGTGCAGCACTTTGAGATCCTTGATGAAAAGCGCTATATAAATGGAATTATTATTACATTTTATTTTATTATAATTCTGCAACCGATTTTGGTTATGAAGCCACAACCCCCACCACCACCACCCAAACAAGCCTAACCCTGTGTTACATAGAAGTAACGGGTCCTAAAGAAGAAGGGTTGGCAGAATGACAGAAAGGGCACGGCCTAAAGATGAAGGCGGGAGGGACCTAAGCAGAAAGGGGTGGGGCCTAAAGTAAATGTGCCAGTTGAAGAAAGGAAGGGGTGTGATCCAAATTGGTAGGTGCAAGGATGCAAAAGAGAAAGGGATGGGCACAAGCATGGGAAAGGTTCGGGCCTAAGCACGATTGGGTGGAGCCTAAGCAGGATGTGGTGGGGCCTAAGCAGGATGAGGTGGAGCCTCGGTTAGAAACGGTGGGCCTAAAGAGGAAAGGGCATATGTATGAAGTGCTGGGGCCTTAAACAGTAAAGGGGCCTGGCCTAAAGAGGAACAGGCAGGGCGTAAAAAGGCAATAAGGCCTAAAAGGGAAGCCCAAAAAAACAACCTACGATTATAACATGCCAAAAACAACTGCATACCCGCAACAACAACAAAAATGACACCAACTTAAATACTAATTATTGTCTATACAGTGAAGGAAAAAGTATTTGATCCCCTGCTGATTTTGTACGTTATCCCACTGACAAAGAAATGAGCAGTCTATAATTTTAATGGTAGGTTTATTTTAACAGTGAGAGACAGAATAACAACAAAATCCAGAAAAACGCATGTCAAAAATGTTATAAATTGATTTACATTTTAATGAGAGAAATAAGTATTTGACGCCTCTGCAAAACATGACTTAGTACTTGGTGGCAAAACCCTTGTTGGCAATCACAGAGGTCAGACGTTTCTTGAAGTTGGCCACCAGGTTTGCACACATCTCAGGAGGGATTTTGTCCCACTCCTCTTTGCAGATCTTCTCCAAGTCATTAAGGTTTCGAGCCTGACGTTTGGCAACTCGAACCTTCGGCTCCCTCCACAGATTGTCTATGGGATTAAGGTCTGGAGGCTGGCTAGGCCACTCCAGGACCTTAATGTGCTTCTTCTTGAGCCACTCCTTTGTTGCCTTGGCCGTGTGTTTTGGGTCATTGTCATGCTGGAATACCCATCCACGACCCATTTTCAATACCCTGGCTGTTTTCTTGGTTACTATGGTCCCAGCTGCCTTGAGATCATTGACAAGATCCTCCCGTGTAGTTCTGGGCTGATTCCTCACCGTTCTTATAATCATTGCAACTCCACGAGGTGAGATCTTGCATGGAGCCCCAGGCCGAGGGAGATTGACAGTTCTTTTGTGTTTCTTCCATTTGCGAATAATCGCACCAACTGTTGTCACCTTCTCACCAAGCTGCTTGGCGATGGTCTTGTAGCCTATTCCAGCCTTGTGCAGGTCTACAATCTTGCCCCTGACATCCTTGGAGAGCTCTTTGGTCTTGGCCATGGTGGAGAGTTTGGGATCCGATTGATTGATTCCTTCTGTGAACAGGTGTCTTTTATACAGGTAACAAGCTCAGATTAGGAGCACTCCCTTTAAGAGTGTGCTCATAATCTCAGCTCAAATAAGTATTTGACCCCTCTGCAAACATGTCTTAGTACTTGGTGGCAAAACCCTTGTTGGCAATCACAGAGGTCAGACGTTTCTTGTAGTTGGCCACCAGGTTTGCACACATCTCATTTGACCCCTCTGCAAAACATGACTTAGTACTTGGTGGCAAAACCCTTTATACAGGTAACAAGCTGAGATTAGGAGCACTCCCTTTAAGAGTGTGCTCCCAATCTCAGCTCGTTACCTGTATAAAAGACACCTGGGAGCCAGAAATCTTTCTGATTGAGAGGGAGTCAAATTCTTATTTCCCTCATTAAAATACAAATCAATTTATAACATTTTTGACATGCGTTTTTCTGGATTTTTTTGTTGTTATTCTGTCTCTCACTGTTCAAATAAACCTACCATTAAAATTATAGACTGATCATTTCTTTGTCAGTGGGCAAACGTACAAAATCAGCAGGGGATCAAATACTTTTTTCCCTCACTGTATAATGAAGTGCTTCGACAATGACTTTTGCTTTCGATTTTAAATAAATGAAGGACAAAGTCAAATAAGTTGCAACTGGCGTAAGCAATTGGATGCTGGGGATGCGGCCACAAATGGCAACTGGTATATGTTGAATGCATCTACACCATAACAAGTTAAACAAAGCAGGGATTACTGAAAATACATTTTCATCAACAGTTCCTCTTAAAACAGCCAACAGCATCACGGCTCATGTCAGGAAGTCTGGGGAAACCCCATGGGAGACCCTCTGGAGGAGCAGCATCCTCCATCTCTCCACATTCGCACAGTGAGGCTATCCCAGAGAACCCACAATTGATCTGTCTGTGCATCACACAACACCACTCCTCAGCCTGTTTATCTGGCTGCGTAAAGCCCTGGAGATGCACCTTTATATTGTAGATGATGTGGGACGTTTTCTAATCATGGCAGCTGCGCTCTCCGATGTAGCCTTCCGCAGAGATTTTCATTCATAAATGCATACTTTTTCTTTAGAACGTGCAGAACGTTACATTTCAAAGGACTTTTCAGAGGTTTGGAAGAATAATTTCGAGTAGGAGAAACGTCTTCAGATTGTGAAAAAAGATCGACACCAATGCCAAAATGCACACCGATAGAGGGAGTGAACTACAGATAACTGGAGCTGTGACAGAGAGGTGACGTTCACCTTGTCTGGTTCGAGAGGTGGCCGTGAAAAGAAAGACACTTGAGGCGGATTAGAGGTTGTGAGATGGAACTCACAATTCGATGTTGGACTTTGTAAATGATGCATTGCTGAGTTGAATTTTAGTGAAATTTATTTAGAAGATCTGATTTGAAGGGACAAAGTGGTCATGTTTATTGCCAAACACTCGGCGAGCAAAGCAATATTTCCATGCACTGGAGATGCTTGAGTTTGTTTGTAGACATGCTGGAGAAGAGATAATTTCAGTAGTCCAGTCTATATTCGATGATAGAGCAGGCAATGGTATTTGCCAAATTAATGTTCAAGAGGGGACAAATATGACGAAAGCCCGGTGACATGACAATTGGAAATGTAGACAGACAGTGGATGAAATATGAACATCGAAACTCAGGTTTTGATCTAATAGGACACCAAGAATATCGAGATAGGTGGTGATCATAAGTCACCCAGCTATTGTCAGGTCAGGGGTAGTAGATGGCATATGAGAAAGCCTCTGTTGACCTTCTTTGATCATGGCCATAGATTCCTATGGATTATACAATAGACCATTATCCCACAATCAATGTTGGAGAGAGAACAGTCACTAAAATATGGGATAATAGATGACAATATTAAGAAGTATATTGTATAAAGTTGGACATAGCATAGATGTGAAAATTGATTCCGTGATCTCGATGCGGTGACAAATTGTAGAGATGAAAATAGTACATAGGAGGGGTCTAAGGACAGCATTTCTGGAAAAAAATTACTATTGGTGAGGAGGTCTCCTAGACTTTAATGGGAGAACTGTGACCATTTAAATAGGACTGACACTAGTCAAGGGCCATTCTGGAAACGCCAGTCATAATCGAGGCATTCACGTAAAATGGTGTGGCTCATGGTGGCAAAGACTGCCAAAATGTCAAGACTGGTGAGCACAGCAGCAGGACTGTCGTCAAAAATTGCCAGGTTATCAGTTACCTTGACCAAAACAGTTTAAGTAGAGTGAGAAGGTTTATGTCTTATTTTTCTTATGGCTGGCTGGCTTATGTAGTAGCATAGCAACGACTACAATTTTGCATTCAGGTGATTCTAGATTTGAAGCTTTCGTGACTGCAATGATTCATATTCTTAGGTTTATTCGGTAAAGTCACGTAGGTAAAAACATTAAAAAGTAAAATAAAATAAAATAATAAAAATCACGACGTTTCGGAGGCAACACAAGCTTCCGTCTTCAGGTGGTACCGTCACAGCCACGACAGCTGTATCAAGTAAATGAGAGATTTCAGGAGTTACCACTGCGTTTATATAATGGTTGGAGAAGGAGGTGGGGCAAGGGC